ATTTAAGTTTAATGAAAAAAGTAATTTATTTTCAGTTTAATAATATAATTTTTTTATAAAGATAATTAAGTATTCTACTACAATTCAATGTTTATCCTACTTGTAATCTTCAATTTTAAATGATATGCATCAATAAACAGTATTTTATGTATAAAAATGAATTTTAAAAGTTCTTTTATCAAATGTTGTATAATATAGTATAAATTAAGAGGTTGTTTGTTTACCTCTTAATAGTTTCATTAAGAGACAATCTCTGAATCATTAAGAAGTGAATCTTGTTTGATAAAAAAAACTGTCTCTTAATGGTTCTAAAACCCTCTGAACGATTTTTTATCCTGGGTCTCCCTTAACTATTCAACGCTATAATTTCGTTGTAAATAATTACCAAACAATTATATTTCAATTTGCACTATATCATGAGAGTTTCTTAATCATTCTGACCATTTAATCATTTTGTACCAAACCATTCAGCAACTGTCAAACAACCCCTAAATCTCTAAATTATTTTCCTAAATGAATAGATCATTAAATTTTTCTCATGTTGAACAATTTTTTTAGATAAATAAACCATCGAACTTTTAAAAATTGATTACCAACATTTTTTTTAACCCCACACGCCTAGTTGCTCCTCAGCCCCAGAGAGATGCACCATTTGAAACGGAATTGCTATTTTTTTATAGGGCCAGTAGTCTCAGTCGTTGCAAGTCCAACTCGATTTGGACTTAACCATGCGTCCTACTCGTAAATGGAAAACAACATTCAATCTGAGGTAGTAATGTTGGTAAACACATAGTTGGTATGGGTTTTTTTGCAAATTCACCGAAGGAAAAAAGCTTTTGCTTCCTTCGAATCCTATGGTTGCAATTTTGTAGCGAACTTTTATTTAAGAAACATAAAACACGATTTACACCACAAAGTTTTGGCACTCGGAGATGCATCGACAAAACCAAGTCCTCAGAAAATGAAAAGCTAACAATCATGTAGATTATAAAGAGATTAAAAACAACACAACCGAAATTGTAATGTTGTATAGAGATACAAAAAGTTCATCTGAAAATCCAACATTTCTAAGAGATAAAATCCTCTTATGATCTTCTCTAAGTCCAATCGTACATTGAAACTCGATTGTCGGTAAACAGTGCATCCACAAATAACGTCTTGTCTCTAAAAACCGTGTCATTGTGATGATGATTAAATAAGATGTTGCTTAAATTGTTACTTGTCAAATCCTTTTGAGTGAACTTGAAAACGAAGCGCCAACTGAATAATTTAGTATATACGGATTACTATAATAAAGTTACCATTTATCATGAAGGGTTGGATTCTGACGAGAAATAGGGTTAAGGTGAGAATTGTAAGAAGGGATCTCCATGATGCACATTATGATGAAATGCACTGGATCAAATTGTCGTATCAAGCGCAATTCATGAGTGGGCATGAGATCAAAAGTGATCAAGGGTTCAGAAAGAATCTTATTATGTTTCCCACATTAACTTCAATTTTCACTGAAACCCAACCTTATATGTATAAACTACCATTTAACATAAGTATAGTAAAAGTCATTAAGAGGGGTAATCATTTACAAACCATGTGAATGTTACAAACCATACTAACACATTCTGTTAGGGATGCTTAAAATACCAACCAACCCGGCCAACCCAATCCGAAAAAACTTTTAAAAAACTCAACCCAATGTAACCCAACGCATAGTGGATCCAAAATTAGACCAAATTGCAAGTACTGGGTTAGAATTGGGTTGTGGTAATTTGAACCCAACCAACCCGCTAAACCCAATGCCTTTTCTAACCATGGATTTAATATGGCTGGTCAAGTCATTGATTAATATACATACATTAGACTAACCCGTATTAGCTATATTCAAAATTACATTACAATTTCAATTGTAATATATGTTAACTAATATCTTAAATCTTAGTATTTGATGGGGAAAAAATCATGTAAACAAATCATTTTAAAATCAATACTCATGGGTTTGTAACATTTTTGTGGTTCTTATTTGATTTAACCACTTATGTGTTACATATCAATAGTTTAACCCACTATTGTAATTAGTGGAATTTTCAAAATACAATCCTTAAATAAAAAACAATTTAAAAGTAACTAGAAGGGTATTCGTGCAATGTAACGAGATACATCTTGATTTTAATGTTTCGTTTTATATTTTGGGTATTTCAATATTATGATGCTATGTGGTTCTGAGAAAAAAAAATGTGTTTATTTTTTAATAAAATATAAATTTGAAGATATCATAAACTTTTGAAAAAAATAAGTGATATTAGTAATAAATTAACTATAAGTTCTCGTTTTTATGTAATTTATTTGATTCAAAGTATCCAGGGAAAAGCAGAATATTTGATGGAAGAACGGGGGATCCTTTTGAACCTCACCAACTAGCTAATCAGACGCGAGCCCCTCCTCGGGAGTTAATGGTATTTCATAACTAATTGATTGGATCCAATTCGAGATTTTCCTTGAGAGGTATTTTATTATAATTTAATTAAAATTTAAAAACGAATTAATTTATAATTGGTTTAATAATATATATATATATATATATATATATTATTTATAAAGATTGTAATTAATTATTTTGTTAGAACTCAATATCCTCATTATATTTTAAATTTTTTATATTTTAAAATGAGATGTTTATTCTTTATTTGATTATGTTTATCCGCAGTTAGTTACACAAATTCAAAATGAAGCTTTAATAAGTTGTACTTACGTACAATTTACTTGTAATATTGAATTTTAAGTAATATGCATTAATAAACAATACTTCATACATAAAAAATGATTTTTAAAAGTTTTTGTCAAAATGCTTTATAATATAGTCAGGTCCGTTCCTGACATTTTTTAGGCACTGGGCTAGATGTGAGTAAGGGGCCCTCGATAAGTATGATATTTTTTCAATATATTGTTTTTATCATCGAAAATAACATTGAAGTCATATAATACCGTTTTTTCGAGTATTTTTTGATGCAAAATCAATCAATACTCATTTCTAAATTAATATTATCTATTAGAACATTTTTATGTTGCATCGATAATTTGTTCCATCATCAAAAACATCCTATCATACACTTTTGGTACATAGAATGACATCATTTGGGGTCAGAAAGTTGATTCTTCTGATTTCCGAGTGACACTATGTAAATAAGTTGGTTTTCCATGTCATGTCATGTTAATGTTTTTTAACAYYATTTTAAACTTTTATATTATGTTTTCGAATTTAGGAAGATTAACACCATTTTAAACTTTTATATTATATTTTCGAATTTGGGAAGATTAACATCATTTTAAACTTTTATATTATGTTTTCGAATTTGGGAAGATTAACATCATTTTAAATTTTTATATTATGTTTTCGAATTTAGGAAGGAAAGAAAAAGAATGAGAAAGGAAAAGAAAAATAAAAAAAAAGGACGAAAAAAAAGTTTTTTATTTGTGTTTATAATAGAGAAAAGAGAGAAAGGAAAATAATGAAATAAATAATAAAATTTGATATAATATTTTTTTCTTTCCTTTTCTTTTCCTTTCCCTAAAAAAATCTCGAGAATATAATATTTTTCTTCATCCATTACTTTCTTCTTTTTCCTACGTAAAAGAAGACTAAAAAACATAGGGTTATGGTTAAAACAAACTTTTCTGGAATCATCGATTATATAAATTAAAAAACTCATGTTGGTGATAGTTTGAGATTGTATTCTTCTTTTAGAGATAAAAGATTACATAAGATTTATACACTCAATATTAGAAAATAAAGAACAACTATGAAAAAAATATTATAGTTTTATTATTCTAAATATAAATATGAGTTGTACCGTCTCATATGGTTGATAAATTTATCAAAAAATGAGGGTTATGTTAGCTAATAACAAGAAAATCTAACATATTATAATATAAAAATAGAATTCACGTGAGGATAGAACAATCAAAAGAGTCGATGAGAGATAAATTATGAAAAATATATCAAAGTTTTCGAAGCAAGTAGTTTTAGACGTCGGTTTTAGATAAAAAAAACTTAGAAAAATATTAAATAATATTATATAATTAACGACAGATTAACCTCTTTATGTATTTCTTTTCTTCAATATGTTTAGTTTATACATGTTTGGATCTTTAATAGTTAATGTAGTACCAAAATATTTCCTTGTCATATTAAATACTAATTTTTTTATATCTATTCTATTTACTAATTTTTTTGAACTATTATTATATATATTAAAAAAAATTGGGCCCCTAATTTTTATGGGCCCTGGACATACGCCCGGCCCGCCATCCCCAGGGACGGCCCTGAATATAGTATAGATATAATAAACAGTTTTGAAAAGTATGATTTTTTTAAATTACCAGATTACGTCATAATCCATATAGGCCGAAGCGGCCCTTTAAAATTAAAACACGTCAAAAACCTTGTTCAAATTCGAGAAGAAGAATAGCAGGCGGCATTTGAATTAATAAATTGTTTCAATGTTGACGATGTGGTCGTCTCTAATT